CATTTCACCATTGAGTTTCCAAACAAAGTTAAGTCATATGCATGGCATAGCATGAACGTAATCATACAGAAAATACATATATGCTGTTAAGTTTATTTACTACTAGGCGTATAAGCCCACTCCTTTTTTTTGGGCTGGATATTCCAAAATTCTAGGTGATGAAGGTGAACCGTGATATCGTTGAAAAGTGAATGGAATTCAACATGGAGCGCTAAAGCTTCTTTGATGTTGTTTGTCTACAGCTATCGAGCTTATTTGTTGAGTTAGGATTTTATTTGTTGCAATCAAGGCCCTTAGTCTTGAAAGGTGTAAACCCTTATGGCAAATTGGATGAATATTTTGTATTTCAGTGTATTGTAAATTATTACAATGAATTTGAAGAGAAATCTATGAGAATGTGATAGATTTTGGTTTATAGAATTGTTTACTTTATTTCTTGTTTATATGAATATTATGAAATTGGATAATAACAATGGATTGGTAACAAATAATATAGTAAATATCGAGGCGTTACACAAATATACCCTTTGAAAAAAGAGAGTTGATGGGAAAAGAGAGTCCTGCATGAAAGAGAAAAAAGAGAGTAGGTTCCGGAGGATGAAGATAAAGATTGCAAAAGAGAGTCAATCTAGGTTGCTCGTCGATCTGGTTTTGGATCTAAGTTGTTGGTAAGGATGAAGATCGCGATAGTAGGGGTCATGGGGGTGGGCATTGTGATGGTGGGAAGTGGAAGTGGTGATTTCAGAGGCTATCGGTGGTAGTAGAAGTGAATGTAATGATGGGTTGGTCACCGGAGGGTGTCAGCGAGAGTGGAAGTGGTGGTGGGATTAGGTTTAGGGTCAAACTTGTAAGGATAGGGATGGGGACAAAATTGGAATTTGATGTTAGGACAAAATTGCAATAAAAAAAAAAGAAAGAAAAAAGAGCATTGCTATTAACCCCTACCTTTCATCTTAGAACCCCCACCTCGTCCATTTTCTTTTAATTCCAGTTTTATCCCAACCTAAAATTTCACTTTTACCATCATCTTTAATTTTTCTAACCCTAATTTCCGAAACCCTAACTCTAACTCTAACTATAATCCCATCTTCATCACCTCTGGCAGTCACTACCACCTCTGGCCGTTATGATCGCCCTTTTACTACCACCTTCGGCCAGTTCCCTTCCTTTTATGATGTCGCCTCTACACCCTTTCATCACTAGCAGTATGATATATATATAGAGAGAGAGATAGTGAGTTTTGGTTCGGCTTCGACGATGATGACAGAGCAGGGCAGCGGAAGAGGAGGGGTTGGAGGTTTTGGTTCAGCTTTGAGTCTGATCCCAAGAGCTAAGGGCACCGCCAATCATGGGGTTTGTCGCCATTTCTTCTCTCTCTCTCTCTTGCAATGGATGAGGAGGTCACGTTGGTGGAGTGGGTTCAACAACACAGTGCTGAACAAACCCTAAATGTTCGAGAACACAATGGCGAAAAAATCCTTTTAGTTCAATAATACTGTGCTGAACATAAAGCATTTGTTCAGCTGTTAGGGTTTTGGAACAAAAAGAAGAAAAAGAAAAGAAGGAGAGAAAGGCGAAGTTGCAGAAGTGAAGTGGTGGTGGTGGCTGGCAGGAGTTGGTTTTAGGGGTAGTAGTTGGCCGGAGTTAGAAAAGTGAAGTAGAGGAAAGATGGTGCCGTGTGGAGCTAGGACTTCGAGGGATGCTGACGCCGGTGTTGGGTTAGGTGACATTGGTGGGGATAAGATTAGGGTTAGGGTTTGGATTTGGGGTTAGGGCTATAGTTGGTATTGAGGTGGGGGTTCAAAGAGAAAATTGAGGGGTTTCATTTTGCTAGGTGGGGGTTAAAAAAAGTAGGGGGGCCAACGTAAAAAGATGAGGGCAAGTAGTAGCCCTCTAAAAAAAATTCAGGTTCCAAAGTAAAAAGGTATGGGCATTTAGCAGCCCTCCAAATTATTGTATTCCAATAATATCCTCAAATGAAAAGATCATTAAGGACAATATGGGAGTGTATTCTACCCATTCAGAGATTTCATATATAAAAACATAAAACACTCTTCACACACCATCATCACCTACAAACATATAAACACCCAAAATAAATTAGTTTTGAAGATTTACACGCCATGGATGACACTAAAATTGTTGATTTCAAACAATGCAACAATGAAAAGATCAGTTTAATATTTAGCTTTTTGATTTTTTGTTATCTTGTTCGTATAATTGTTAGGAAGATGACTTTGTTTGTCACGTGTTCAGATAACCAGAGTTGAATTTTTACACAATGTTCGATTATTTTTATTCAAACAAAATAATTTTGGTTAAATTATTAAGGTTGATCAAATTATAAATGTTCATACATCAAAAAATTAAACATTTTAATTGCTTAAGAATTTCATTTCTCAAATTTAATTTAATTCAATTCAATAATTTAATTTATTTGTGGTATATTTTCTTTTCTTTTTTACAAAAAAGTAGATGTTTTCAACAAAAAACAAAACAAAACAAATAACATATAAATTTTAATATACGTTCAACATAATAAGTCTAAACGAGTTGAAATTGTTTAACATATAAAGTATTAACGTATTTATTTTGTTCAACATAAGTATTTTGAAAATATTCAATTTGTTCAATTTTATTCTTTTTTGTACGATGATATTATGTTTAAACAACCAAAGTTGAGCCAAACTCGAATTAAAAATTGCTATGGAAGTTGAATCGGTAACCAAATCAAAAGAAGATAGGAAAAACATATCAAAGTGAGAATCAAATGTGTGAATTAATGGTGAGAATTACAAATTTTCAACATTGACAATGCATTGGTGACGACGACGAAGATAGAGATCTGAAATGACGACAATGCATCAGCAAGTCAACGACAAAATGACGGCGATGATGGAGATTTGAAACAACGAGAATGCACCAGCCAAACGAAATCCTCCGCCAGCGACAAAGATCTTCAACACCGACGATAAAGATCTATGGTGTTCTAAAGATGGAGATATTTGGGTGTGGGTTGTGGTGTATATTCAAACAAACAAGTGGTATGTTACCTTAAGGCTAGTAATGGAAAATTAATGTGTGAACTAAGATATTTTCAAACCCTAAAAATTATTATGTATGTGTACTAGGTAATAGTGTATATTAAGAGGATTAGTGGTGTGTAAATAGAATTACCCTTATTTGAGTGATGGTTATTTCCTACATTTCCTGTAAATAGCTAAATGTAAATCACCTTCAAACTTATTCATAACACTCGTGAAAAATAGGAGTAGTTGCAATTAGTATTCTTAGGGTAGTTGTTCTGTAATTTAGTGCCTTGGTTCATAGTTTGTTCTTGGTTCTTGTTCTTGTTTTTATGCTTGTAACAAGTAACAATTTCAGTTTTATATATTTTCAGTTTATGTTTATTTCTTTCAATCGATTCACTCCAAAAAAGCTCTTAAACTGTGAAGGCATAGAACTTAATCATTTTGCTTGGTTTTTTTTCTCTATTTTTGCAAAATCTTTAAGTTCATGTTGATTGACTCCTATCGATCACACCAAAACTAGAATTTTACTTACAGACCCTTTAAAAGAAAGAGAAATATAGCATGGTGGTGTTTGGGGTTGATATTTACAGCTCAGCTGTACGTATTTTGAAATTTCAGTAGCAAGGGAAACACCAATTTTAATTACAAATACGTGGAATCTCAAGCATCCTTTCTCTCTCTATTAGATAACAGTGGTCAAAATGTGTAGGACTTCCTCATTTAGCAAATATTAGATTTTCATACATATCATAATTGATCACATATAAGGCTATTTCATCACATTGATTGCAGCAGTCTATTTTTAACATTGATTTTTTTGAAAATTTCATTGTGTTTGATTGGATGAAAACCTAAAAATCAATAGAAAATATTTTTCATAATCAACCAAACAAATTTATTTAAGTCAAAAATATTTTTTACTTGTAAAAGTTAGAAAATATTTTTTGAACTAAAATTTTATTATCTCCACCATTACTTCCACTGCCACCACATCGTTGCTACTACCACCACACCAACACCATCACTAATACAATCACCAACACATTAATTTCAAGTATGCAACTAAATATTGCGCACACAAAAAAAAAAAAACAAAAAACAAAAAACCTACAAAAAATATATTTCAAAAAGAAAATATTTTATATTGAAACAAATGGAGCATTATTTGGAGAGATTTTTCAAGTAGCAGGCATAATACAAAAAAATCAGTATGGCATATGAATTTACTCTATCTAATATTCTGTTGGATGTTCGACATTTTCTAATTTTCTGTTTGGATGAATACTATATAAGACTTCAATTCTTTCTCCAACTTCAAGCTTTATATTCAAGAAATTTGCATCAGAACTTCTGTATTCAGAATCCAACCACTTCAAATGCCTTCATGTCTTGAAGAAATCTAATAACCACTTCAAAATTCTTTCATGTGCTGAAGATATCTTCTTCACATCAAACTTTAATTAATTTTGGAAATCTGTTATGTACTAGAATCATATCAATTCAGTGTATCCAAAAATAAACAAAATCAATTTATCTATTTGGCAATGAAAATAAATTTTCAGCTATTTCTTTTTGAAGTTTACATAGATGAGAACTCTCCATTCTACACCGAACTTGGAAGAAAGGTAATCATGGAGGATGTATCAAAGTATAAACAAGAAGAAAAAGAATAAGTTAAAGATAATTAAATATGCATCACAAGAATAAATCAAACGGTGTTCACCTTACTCCACTAAAGAAGAAATCACAGTGTGAAGTACGCAATTAATTAAAAAATCATGAGGACTTCCATTTTATTGGAAAATCTCACCACTTTTATCACTTTTAAGTGCTTGCAGAAAGTCTAGCTTCAGTGGATATCTATAGTCATATAGATGATAAAGTAGGGAAGTGAAAGAGAGTCATAGTAGAGGGCATGTGAACGATGAGACAATAATTAGAATATCAATTAGCGGCTAAAACCAAGACTAGAGAACAAGAACAAGTGTACTAGATAAAAGACCACATATTGGTGACAGTCTTGTTCTGTAGTACATCAAATAAAATAGAAAATAGTAGGTCTGTTGTTTTCAAATACGAATATATACGTGTAAAATTACGGCAGCGTAGACAAGACCACAAACAAGGAGGAACAAACACACATACAAAAGAAGCACTTAACAACAACAACAAGAAACAAACAAACACAAACAAAAGAAGCACTCAACAACAACAACAACAACACCATTGCATCCAAACTAACTTGGAAGCTCCATGCCAATGGGACCTCTGAACTATTTTGGCAAAAGAAGGCGGAAAGGATCCAGTGCTGCTAAATTTCGAAAGCCCATACGACCATCTTCAGAGAGCAGCATCACTGCGAGATCTATGAACTTTGGCAGACTTCAAGTTAGACAAGGAACTGCACAAAATATGAACATAAAACATTTTAAAGATGGAACATTACCTGAGGGTACATAATTTTTGAAGACGTTCTTTGACCTCATCATTCTGCCACTGCAATTTTTCCCACCATCTGCTCTGCTTCAATAGTTTCTAGCTTTGCTGCGTTATCTTTGTTGAAAGGCAATTTAAGCAAAATAGGACACTTTAAAATCTCAATCTTCTCCAAGGATCCCCACTCCAGTGACTCGATAGCGCAGACACTTCTTAATTTTCGCATGTCAAGGAGAATCAATTCCTTCAGCTTTGGCAGTACGTTCAGATTTCTAACAGCATCAGATTCTGCAATTATTTCTTCAATTTTTTGGCACTTATCAATTTTCAAATACTGGACTTCATGAAGTTGTTGAATCACACCAGCAGGAAAAATCTTGACCAGCATTTGACAACTAATCAGAACTAGAGTCGTTAATTTGGTTAGGCCTGGGCCCTTCCAAATGCTTTCCAGCTTTGGCAGATTTTTCAGAAATAAGTGCTCTACTTTTGGTAATACTGCACCGTCACCCACGATGGTTTCAATTGCATCACACCTTTCAATTAGACAACCTTGGACCATGTTCATGCTTGCAACCCCAAAGTCTGATAGCTGCTTGATGTCCTTGTGATTGACTAATTCGAGTGCATCTGCTTTAGCAAGGGCCTCAGGAAATGGAAAACTGCTACTTGCACCATTGCAATATTTGATATACTTATCATATTTCAAAAATTTGGGAAATTGAGAAACTTCGGAGTTTTGGCAACCAATGTAAAATTCAAATGCACTGATGGCATCTCTCCATGAACTATTTGTCGTCAAATATAGAGCAAATGCAGTTTCAGGACTACATATATGGAGAGATCTACTAGATTTAACCTCTAAGACAACTGCAACCTTTTTGGATAAACAAATCTTTAGACTCTTAAATTGTTGCAATGTTGCTACTTCTTTTATGATATTATCTACCATCTCATTGGGCAACTCCTCAACTGAATTCACATCAATAATCAGTTCTTCCAATTTAGGAAGTTTTGAAATTATGTCGTAGTTCAAATGTACACTTTCATTTCCAGACTTAGTAAAGGATACTCGCAAGCGCCTCAGACAACTCAACTTTTCAATTTGAAGTGGTATATTATTGAATGCATTCCCCCGAATATCAAGTGTTTCAAGTTGCTTAAGTCCATCAATGTCAGAAGGGAGGTTCCTCAAATTTTTGCAATCAACTAGGTATAGAATTTTGAGACTGTCCAAACTTGATATAGATGGTGGTAACAAAATGAGTCCAGTATGAGATAAATCCAAAACTCCAAGCTTTTTCATATTTTTAAAGAACAAATCAGGGATTCTCTCCAGACACAAATTCTTCTGCAGGAAGAGTGTAGAAAGCGTGGGACAATCAGGGGAATCTGGTAACTGGTCCAACTTATTGTCACCCAAGGAGATTCTATTCATCTCACCCCAAAATTTCACATCTGGAGACTGTTTTAATGCTTTGCTCGCTTTCACGAGATGTCTATGTTCAGGATAATCTTCTGTTACATACACAGCCACTTGTCGGATGAATTTATCCATTTTAACATGATCCATACTCTTGCCTTCCTCGAGTATTGACAACTTATGAAGATAATCCAATATTGAATTCCCATTTGTTGTGCTATTTCCGTCGAAAAGGAGATTGTTTGCTTCCCAACACTCTAACAAATCATTTTTGTTGATGTCTGTGTCTTCCGGATATAATGCACCATAAAGAAAACAATTCTTACACTGGTCATCATCCAAGTTATCATAACAAAATTGCTTCAACAATTCATATAATTCCCTAATGCCTTCGCATTCTCTTTTGACCCAACCCCTCCAACTATTCAATCCATCAACCCAAAGGTCATCCTTGGCCTTCCATTTGAAAGTATTTGCTACTTTTTCTATCACGAGTGGAAGTCCACCGCAATCTTTGCACAGTTGCTCTGCAATTTGCTTGGTTTTTTTATCTTCAATAAGTTCTGTCTGTCTCAAAACATCTTGAAACATCTGCCATGCCTCAACTCGAGATAGACATTTCACCTTAATCTCCCTGTCCACCATTTCGGAACAATCATCCAGCACCCTAGTTGTCAATACTATCTTGCTGCAATTGTTGCTTTCAGGAATCCCAATCTCACTTAAATCAAGACAATCCTTGACGTCATCTAAAAGCAGCAAGTACCTCTTGTGCTCCAACTCCATTGATATTTTTTTGGCAACTTCGCGGGCATTACTGGTGTCTCCGATGTTTAGTTTCAGTCTTTGCACAATATCCTGTTGCAGATGCTCCCTGCTCAAATTTTCCTCGCTCTCCTCTTTTGATACTTTGAGCCAGATGACTATGTCAAACTTTTTGGCAACTTGTTCATGGTTATTCAAGTTGCGCATTATGGTTGTTTTCCCAATCCCCACTGTCCCGTGGATACAAATACTCTTAATCTTGTCATGTTCCAGCAAAACCAGTGTCTGCTCTAGTGGCTCTTGAAGTGTTCTAAATCTGCTGATATCTGGTACCCTGCTGCTTTTCACAACGCGTTCTGGTGATGAATCAACCATCATTTCATATTTCTTTTGCATAAGTTTCTTTATTTTTTCTAACACATTTCTTCTCTGTTCTATGTAATCCGAACTTGAAGGAGACCAAAAAGATGACTCTTTACTTCTTTTGTCATATTCAGCTGCAAAATCCTTCACCTGGCTAATCCATTCCTTGCAAGTTTCAGATGACTCCATCTTATTACTATCCTTAACATGAGAAAGAAGCACAGCAAATGCATCATTTATAATGCAAGCATTGTCCTCTGCATTGTCTGTGAGGACGAGTTTGCTCAAGTGTGAACCCCAAAATACTGTCTTTGCCTGGGACACAGCCTGCACCACTGCTGCTGCTGCCGATACTACAGTGGAAACTGCTGTTATTGGATTCATTGTTCTGCCAATCAAGAAACGCAGAAACTGTAACAGAGAAGCAAAAGCAAGGATGGATATAAGCTGCCGTAATTCCTGCTCATGTTAAATATCACCTCAATTGTATTACCTAGGATGATATTTGAGCTGCCAGTAATAGTAAATCAAATGGAATGGCAAGTCATTTTACTATATATAGGCAATGCATTTGTTGTTGCAATCGATAACAGGACAAGAATCATATTGAATTAACAGTAATGAAATTTTTTTATTTTCTTTTCCCACTGTAAGACCATCTCCAAAGCAGGTAGCAAATGTGTTGTTGGCTATCTTATATGCAGATTTGCTACCTTCATTTGTTATTATTGAGATTTGGCACTTCAATGAAAATAGTAAACCTTGTTATTTTATTATTATTTAGAAGTAACATCAAAATGTAATGGATGAAATTGTGAATGTATGTCATGGCCCACTAATAACATTGTTCAAAAGTATTCATTCGGTGTGTGAAATTCAACACAACAAATTTGTCATGTTTTGAAGAGGATAGCAAACTTAATTTGCCATTTGTTGTGTCAATTCAGCTTTGTTTTTATTTATGTGACACAACAATTAGCATTTGCTATGTTGATATGGAAATGGTCGGACAAGTACTTCCTGACGGAAACTGGAAAGGCAGCTTGGAAATGGGTGGTGTGACTATAAAAATAAGATTTGGAAACATGCTCATAGACACTTGTGTGGGCGATTGTTGGAACTTGAATAGAAATTTTTAAAACTTCCCTTTAGTTATGTATTGCTAGTACAAGTGCTTATGCTGCAGTGTGGCCACAATTTTTTGAAATTGTTCTCTTTCTTTTTTAATTTATTTATTTTTATTATTTTTTCCTTAACCGTTATAAGGCAATGGTTTTTGTTTGGCCACGAGTTCTATCTAATGAGAACCAATACCTTGACCAAGAGGTATGGCTTTCACAAACAGACACTTGAAGTGTCTATTAAGGATATGAGATCTCACGTTTTCTGCACCAGAAAAAAGCACAGGGTTTCTCTTATCTCTCATCTTTGATTTTCTTAATTTCACATATTGTTTTGAGCAATTTCAATCATAGATGGTTCTACATGCCTTCTAGTGTGCACGAACACTAGAAGGCTGGCAGTAATTTGGGTTGAATCTCGGAGCTATTGATTGACCGTCACTACCTTTGTGTGGGGAGGCAATAATAGCTATAGGAAAGCGAAATCGCGCCTCTAATCATAGACCAATTTTCCCTAATTTGTTCTTGCTATATATGTAAGATATGAACATAATCTCATGTACTGTATACATATCTATGATTATAGTATTTAGGGTAAATTACATATACAGTCCCTGAGATTTGTCAAAAATGCAGATTTTCCCCTCATGTCCTAGAAATTACAAATATCCCCTCATCAAAAAATTTCTAAACTGACGGGTAATTTTATTTGCACACCATACTTTATCTCAGTACACATCATTTGTGCCGTTCAGATATCAACTTCCGAACAAAAACAAAATGTTTGAATATCAACTTCTGAACAAAAACCAATTGTTCGAACAAAAATCATGTTCAATAGTTAATATCCGAACATTTGCATTTAGTTCGAAAGTAGATATCCAAACATTTGTATTTTGTTCGGAAGTTGATATCTGAACGGCACAAATGGTGTTTACTAAGATAAAGTGTGGTGTGTAAATAGTCACCCAAAACAAATCTAACCGGGAAGGGGGGGAGAATACCCAAATGCTCTCTAATATTGAATAAAATTATCATACTACCCTCATTTTCATCCACCCACCACCAAATCCCGTTCTCTACACCATCACAATATTCTTCAACCCTTCTTAGTGACACACCAAATGTTTGTAAACAATAATGACGGTGGTGCTAATCGAGAGTGGGAGATGGTGGTGCAATGGTTGGGCAAAGTGGTATTACTAGTTGAGAGAAAATAATAGGAAATAAGGAAGATGAAATAAGAAAAAGAAGAAAGAAAATAACGTGTTCTTCAAGTGTGAATTAAAGTATACAAAATTAATTTAGTAAGACCAAGGAAAAAATAGACCACCACAAGAGACACCAAGATTTACATGAAAAACCCTTCAACGCAGAGGGAAAAACAACAGACCAAAAATAAAACCTCCACTATTATCTGAAATAATGGGTACAAAGAAGAACACACGCACACACTCACTCTCCACTCATCTATGAGTACTCACAAACTCTCTTCATTCAACAATGGTTACATACACACTCTCCACTCAATTGTGGGTAAAACACTCAACATAAATGGGAATCCCAAAAACACTCTCAAGTTAATATGCCCAAACTTGAGAACCACACAGCTCTCTATTCGATGCCTTAGAAGCTCCCCTCAAATGGGGTATTTATAGTTGAGGCTTGGCATTGGGTAGCCAATATAACTTAAATTATTTTTATGTGGGGTGGACCTTCATAATTCTCCCCCTCCACCTCACCTTGGCAAAGGGAATACCAAAAAAGACTCCTCACTTGGAGTCCATTCCGGCCAACTCTCTGCAAAACTTGAGCTTGTCTCTCAGAACAACTTACGGAACTCTTCCACGGATAAACGCACTCTTCAACCCACATCATTTCATTGGTCGGTCATTTGGGGTGTAAACAGGCAAGTGGGGCTAAAATTTAGGAGGGAGGTCCAAATTTTTTAGAGACTATATATGTTTGGTCATCAAAGACAAACATCGTTGTTTTGTCCTATGAGTTTGTGTTGTAGATTTAGCGACCAAACTCTTGATCATCACCAAATCCAAAACAATGTCGTTTGATTATCCTAAAAGGCCCTAACTAGCATCTTCCTCATTTCAATCCATGATCTTCCTTTCTCTCCCTCACTATGTTGTCTCTTTCTCTCTTACACTCTCACACCTCAATTCTGCCATTGTCATTGCCACCATTTCCGTTGTTGCTGCTATCACCATACCACCGGACTTTCAAGAACTCCACCTCCATTGACACCCTTCACCTTCCTGACGTCATCCATCAGGCAATCTCTCTTTCTCTCTCTCTCTCTCAATTTACTGGTATTCATTCTAATCATAACCAAACCATACAAGAACCAAAACTCATGCTAAGTGTAAGTCCTGGATACTTGTTCTAACAAATTAAACCATATGAGAACTTGCTAAATCAAGTGAATGTTGAGCCAAACAGAGTGTATATGCAGGCTCTCAACGTCTCTAAGCAAGGAACTAGTCCTTTTTCACTACTAACAAAGAAATGAATGATGAAACTGTTAACTGGTTCCATTCTGCAGTAATTATTTTCCTTTTCTCAATTCCAGTTTTAGAGAATCCACGAAGGTTGCCTATACAAAATATCAGAACATTATGTTGCATTAATACAACTTCTTAATTAAAAATGTGTTGCATTAAATTATTGTTTGGCATGATCTAAAAAAGCCAAAAAGGCACTATCCTATTTAAGTCACATCATCTTATTTAAATCACATCACCTCTCTAACACACCACTTCAAACCCAATCCATACCCAACCCATATTTCATAAAAAGTCAAAAAGTGCACTTATTTAGATCATCCCAAACCACCCCGTTGTTTCGCAAACACAAAAGTATATTTTCCCATAAGCCAAAAAGGCACTATCCTATTTAAGTCACATCATCTTATTTAAATCACATCACCTCTCTAACACATCACTTCAAACCCAATCCATACCCAACCCATATTTCATAAAAAGTCAAAAAGTGCACTTATTTAGATCATCCCAAACCACCCCGTTGTTTCCCAAAAACAAAAGTATATTTTCCCATTATTTTCTAGTTTTTTGATCTTGTCAATTTGTATTAAAAATAATAAATAAATAAATAACAACTATGGGGACAAAATTCTTCTCAATGGCAACTAAAATTTTTGTCACGAAAAGTGCCTTCTCTATGAGATGGTTTCCATAAGGTGGAGGGAAGGAGGAATGAGCAATGAGAGAGTGGTGGTGTCGTGGCGGTGCGATAATGGTGGAAGGAAGAGGGCGGAGGGGTGGTGGCTGCCACAAGGTGGCTTTTGTCTGCATAAAGAGAGAAAATGTAATGACTCATACTTTAAATCCTTTTATTTATTTATGATGGTGTTTTCGCATTTATTCCGTGTTTGTTATAGATTAGACTTTCTTTGGGACTATGCTTGAACTTTGGAGTATTGAGTTTTGAATTTGGTTAAGTATTAGTATTTGTTATAGAACTCCACCGGGGTGGTTAACAACTCCGCCGGTCCCAGGCCCGGGTAAAGGAGGAGGGTTTTGTGTTAGGTAGCTGATAACCAACACGTAAAAAAACTGCTCGGATCCCTTATGACAATGAATCCTACTTTGAATCGATTAAATGCTAGGTCATTCTCCTCAAGTGACGCGTCGTGCCTGCCTTCGGGTGTATCGAAAAGTGAGCAAGGGCGCCGCATCGACGCCTGGGCGGGGTGAAAAATAGGCAAAGGTTCCTGCGTTTTTCTGAACGAGTGCGAGTAAAGAAGTTAGTCCAAGACTATAGGTTTAGGGTAGTCACTTAGAATATAGGAACTTTAACTGGTAAGACGATGTAATTGGTAGATGTTATGATTAAGAGAAGAGTTAGTATAGCATGCGTACAAGAAACTAAGTGGACAGGTGAGAAAGCTAAGAAAATTGAGGATATCAGTTTTAAACTGTATTATAGTGGTAAGGATAGACATAGGAATGGGGTAGGAATCATAGTTGCCAAGGGTCTTGTGGAAAATGTAAGGGATTAGGATTATGTTAGTTAAACTAGTTATTGGAGGGAATATAATGAACGTTATTAGTGCATACGCCCTTCAAGTAGGATTAGATGATTAGACTAAGGGATTTTTGGAAGCGAATGTATGAGATCTTACAGGAGATACCCGTAGGAGAGAACCTACTTATAGGTGGAGATTTTAATGGCCATGTAGGCATGGATAAACTAGGCTATGAAAAGGTGCATGCTGGGTACGGTTTTGGTGATAGAAATGAGGCTGGAGAGAATATC